AATTCAGTAAATTTTAGTGTATTTATGCAGCTGCACAACTATCACCACAATACAGTTTTAAAAGACTTCTGTCATTCCAAATCTTTCTGTGCTTTTTTGCTGTCACTCTCTCTTCCCATTCCCAGTCCCAGGCAGTGAGTATTCTGCTTTCTGCCTCTATAGTTTGCCTTTTCTAGAGAATTTTTAGATAAATAGAATCATATAATATTGTCTTTTGAGTCTGATGTCTTTCAGTTAGTATTATGTTTTTGATATTCATCCAAGTGGTTTATTTCTCTTTATTGCAGAGTAGTATTGTGTTGTCTGGGTATACTGCACTTTATCTCTTCACCAGTTGGGGAATATTTGGATTGTTCCTAGGTTTTGGCTGTTTGAAGTAATGCTGCTCTGAACTTTTGCACACATTTCTTTGTGTGCTCATTGCTTTCATTTCTGTTGGGTAGATAGGTAGGAGGGATTTACTAGGTCTATGGTAACTGCTGTTTAACTTTTTAAAGACAGTGTCAGTTTCCCAAAGTATTTGTACCATTTAGTATTCTCCCTGTGAGGTTCCAGTTATTCCACATCCTTGCCAACAGTTGGTAATATTAGTCTTTTTTATTATAGCCCATGCTTTTTGATATGTAATGGTATATGTTTGTGGTCTTAATTTGGGTTCCCCCAATGACCAAGGATGTTGAGCATCCTTTCATGTGCTATTGACCATTTGTATTTCTTCTTTGGAAAATATCTATTCAGATTCTTTTCTTATTTTTAAATTGATTTATTTGTTTATTATTGAGTTGTGTTTTTAATATATCCTGGATATGAGACCTTTTTTTGATATATGGTTTACAAATATTTTATCCCATTCTGTAGGCTTTCTCCTTACCGTCTTTATAATGTCCTTTGATGTGCAAAAGTTTTCAATTTTGATCAAGTCCAATTTATCTATATTTTTTTGTTGTTGCTTGTGCTTTTTGGTATCATATCTAAGAATCCATTGCCAAGTCTGAAGTTATAAAGATTTACCGTTATGTGTTTATTATCAGGACTGACCTCCTAAAGGAAATGGTGCTGGCCAAGAAGGGATTGGGTAGGATGGGTGGGCTAAAGGTGGACATTTCAGGCCGAGGACAGAACATCCCTAAAGCAACAGAGAGGAAGAGAGCCGGAGTGTTTGAGGGTAGAAACTAGGCAGCCTAGCTTTGAAGGTGATGGGGGACTATTAAGAGATTTTAAATAGAAAAATTAGCATTTTTACACTGATGTTTTTAAAAGACATGTGTGTGGAAAGAGTTTAAAGTGGTGAAAGGTAGAGGCCAGGGAGATGGACAGACTGGAGGTAGTGAGAACAGTGAGAAGACTGTTGCTTTTGACCAGGTGTGAAATGACATGGACTTGAACCGTGGCAGGAACAGTTAGAATGGAGAAGATGGTTTTGCTGCCAGAGGATTGGTGGGTAGAATTCCTCCATCACTAGTGGGAGTGGGGTTCTTGCCATATCTTCAGAAAAGGAATTTTCTAAGACTCACACAGGAGAATGAATGGTTTTTATTTGCCTGGAATTATATTTATCAGTTTGCAAAGTCTCATGGCCTTAAACCAGTCCTGGAAAATATGCAGCTGGGTGTTCAGTAGAACTAAAAGCAAGGCCGGTGTCCAGAGTTTCCATTCCACGGTGTAGTTGAGTCTGATGTAGCATCAGGCTAGATTCAGTCCATTAGTTCATTGTGTGGGTCATCACATGGCTTTGGGCCACGTTGGCAAGTACAGAGCATGCGAGGCCTGCAAGCCTGACTCACAAACCAGGAGTCAAGCGCGAGTAGAGAGAGAGCTAGAAATAGAGAGAGGCAGACAGAGATGCTTTGTTCAGGAGTTAAGTATTTCAGATTTCACACCCTTGCAGTAGCCATGTCTATTCTAGCCACTGAATTGCTCCCAGGTGTGACTGACAAGTAAGCATCTTCCCACATCACCCAAACCTTACTGGGCATACATCTATGGTAAACTGCCTTTGTCCAGTCCATTTCCCCATCGATCTGCAGGGAATACTTGGAGAGTATTAAACTGTAGTATAAATGGCATACCTATATTATCAAGTCTTCTCTTGACTCTTTTCCTATTAATAACAACCAGGTTATTAATGGTATCAGTTTAAGAGATTTTACCCAGACCAAATGAACAGCTCTTGATAATGGATTAGATGTGAGATGAGTGAGAGAGAAGGAGTCTAGGATGACTGGGATTTTTCACTAATAGAACTGGGGATTGGTGTGAGAAAAGCAAAGGTATGTTAAAAAGACAGTATGATTAGAATTGGGCATATTGAGTTTGAGATGACTATAGGACTAGGAAGGAGATTAGGATAGAGATGAAGACTTGGGAGCTGCAACTATACATAAGGTCATTGTAAGTATCAAAGGAAATGACATCTGAAAGTGCCATACAAATATTACCTAATTAATTACCTGATGAATATGGTAGACCAAGCTCTCCTGAACTTCAGCATGTGACTTTTTCCTCTCAATAAAGTATATTCCCATGACAATATAATGGAGGATGTTTAAGTAGTAGTTGGGGGTTGAATTTACATGAAATATCTATGTCTATCTATCTATCTATCTATCTATCTATATCATTTTTTCAAAACTAATTTATTTATTGATTTGAGAGAGAGAGAGAAAGGAAGGGAGAGGGAGAGAGAGAAACATCAATTTCTTGCTCCATTCACCCATGCATTCACTGGTGGACTCCTATATGTGTCCTGCCTAGGGGTTGAACCCACAATTTTGGCATATGGGGACACTGCTCTAATTAACCGAGCTACCTAGCCAGGACAAACTTACAAGATCTTTAAGTTTTTGAGTTTTCTAAGTTCTAGGATTGAATGAGTTAACAATGCAGAGGCAATAAAACAGTGTCTGGCACATAATATGTGTTGCATAAGTGTTTGTGGTTATTCTGTAAATCTGTACAATCTTTGTGGTTTCTGATCATTTGGATACCAGTACTGTTTAGGTACTAGAGGCCTGATGCACAAAATTCATGCAAGAGTAGGCCTTCCTTCCCCCAGCTGCTGGCACCAGAAGGGAGGTGGTGGGACCCGGGCTTCCCTCGTAGCCCTGGCTTCATCTGGAAGGTCATCCAGAAGGACATCTGGTCTAATTAGCATATTACACTTTTATTATAGATATCAATACTGTTTGATTGTAAAATGTCTACAGAAATAGCAAAATTAACTAAAATGCAATCCAGTGTTTTATTTATGTCTAATCATTTGTAAATAGATTTGCCAAAAGCCATAAGGGTGATTGCTTGGCTAGAACCACATGCAGTTTCTGTAATGACCTGGAAAATGAAAGAAAATTAAGTTTGCATTAGCGGAAATTCAATAGGTTTTCTGTTTTCAAAAAGGCAAATAGACAAAGACTGTGACAGTTGACTGGAAGATGGCATCCGTATTGAATACTCTTCCGAGTTCACAGAAGCATCAGCTTAGGAAAAAGTGTTTTCCGGCTGCCCTCGGGCTTTGATTAGCATCTGAATGGAGCAATGAAAAAGATGAAATCAAGCATTCAGAAATAGGAGGAAAGGACTAACGGATTTCCTGCAGATTGGTTCATTATTGTAGGTACTCAAGTTCTGGAATATGCCTGCTCTGATCTGGCTGGCTGCTACACTGAGTCCCAGCTGTTATGCTTGTATTGCAGTGCTGAGCTCAGTATTACACACGTTAAAAGCGTAACCACTTTTTCTATATTTCCTTGTTTTTCCTTGATAAATTAGGATGGTTTATTGTGAGGGTTAAGGGAGATTAAATGAAATAACAACAACAAAAACCCCAGTACAGTGCCAGGCATACTATAAATGCTAACCCTGTGTTAGCCCTTGTTCTCCTCACTCCACTGCAAGCACAGTGATGCTTAAAACCCATTCTTTCTCTCTGATTCCTGGGGGGAATGTGTTACTGGTGGGGAGAGGTCCTCATGCCCACCTGTTGCTTGTGGGAGTGGAATTCTTGTGACACCCCAAGAAAAAGAATTTTCTGAAACTCGCATGGGAGAATGATATATTGTAGAAAGCTTTATTTTTTGTGGAATCAACTCCCTGAGCTGCCAAGATCTCATTTCCATTGCCCCTCCTCCCCCCAAGGAAGAAGTTCCATTTTGCCTTTAACACGGCTAACACCAGAGCTAGTGTCCAGAGCTCCCACTCCATGCTGGAGCAGTCCAGTACAGCATCAGGCTAGCTCAGTTTTTGTTTCCAGCTGCAGTCCATCCGTCCATTTCAGATGGGGTTCGTAGGGCCACATGGCCATGGTGGGAACATGGGCAAATGCAAGGAAGCAGAACAAGAGAGCCAACTCCTTTGTTTGGGGGATTATGTGTTCCCCAAATTTTGGCCGGCCTGCTGTGGCCCTGCCTACTTTAGCCAATCCATGGTTCCCCAGACTTACCCACTGGCACTTTCCCTAGTCATTCTGACTCACTGCGCATGCGTTCATCTCCCCTTGGTTGGGCCCTTCTCCCAGGGATCTTCGGGGAATGGGCCGGTGGTTCCCTGGGGAGTATGATATTGCAGCTTCCTGTTGAAGCTGCCCAAGTGATATGCCTATAATGTCTGGCCTCCCCTTTTGTCATTTTCCATTATTAATAACCAGCTAATTACAATGACATTCCTTTGGGGAAAGGATCAAAAAGTTGCCTCAGTTTGTTTAATATTGACTATTTTAGCCTGGGTTTCCTAGACAACAGAGCCTGAGGCAAAGCCGAGCAGCCATTGCTGTACCAGGAGTACAATCCTAGAGCAGCGAAGTGAGGGGGGAAATGAAGCCAGGCAGAGAAGATGGGAGAGCAAACACAAAGTGCACATCACTGAGTTGTAAACACAGCAGTGTCACTAGGATGTCTCTGGATAAGCCATATGGAAACACTCATTTCAGAACAGTCTGTTGAGGGAGGAAAGGGGAATAATTTTTTTTTCCCTTTGTATCTCTTGTCTTTCAGTGGTCAGTGTGTACCCCTGGCCTACTGTGTTCTGCTGCCCAGCCTTTTGGGCAGCTGCAGGGAAGCCAGATTTTGCCACCTATGGAGCAGCCCTTCATTTGAGTCTGGAAGCAGTGGAAGGTGCCAGGGCCTCTGTGAGTCTCGTCAGACCAGGTCTGATGCCAAGTTGCTGCAGGCAGTCCCCATGCAGCACGAGGAGCCCAGCCCTCTCTGCAAGGAAGCCTGAGACAGCTGACAGTGCAAGGAGGTGATGCAGGTGGGGCTGAGATATCTGAAGACCATCAAAAACTGGCTTCAGTACAAAGCAGGTTCTTTATAATGCTACTGTTCTGGAAACATCTCCCTTTAAAATGTTAATTTTTTTGTATGTAACATTTAGTACATTTTCTGATAATCTGAATTTTATTTTACACTAGAGGCCCGGTGCATGAAATTCATGCGCGGGGGGGGGGGGGTGTCCCCTCAGCCTAGCCTGAACCCCTTCTAATCTGGGACCCCTTGGGGGATGTCCAACTGCCAGTTTAGGCCCGATCCCTGGCAGTCAGACATCCCTCTCACAATCCTGGACCGCTCGCTCCTAATTGCTCACTTACCTGCCTGCTTGGTTGCCCCTAACTGCCCCCCCCGTCGGCCTGGTTGCCCCCAACTGTCCCCCCATGCTGGCCTGGTTGCCCCCAACTGCCCCCCCCACTGGCCTAGTTGCCCCTCACTGCCTCCCCTGCCAGCCTAATCGCCCCTAACTGCCCTCCCTGCCAACCTGGTTGCCTCTTACTGCCCCTGCCCTGCCAGCCTGGTTGACCCCAACTGCCCCCCTGTGCCAGCCTGGTCGCCCCTAACTGCCCCCCCTGCTGGCCTGGTCGCCCCTCACAGCCCCCCTGCCGGCCTGGTCACCCCATGTAGTCTGTTTGTTCAGTTGTTTGGTCGTCCCTCATTAACCCCCCTGCCAACCTGGTCATAGGCAGCCATCTTGTGAGGGTGTGAGGGTTAATTTGCATATTACCTCTTTGTTATATAGGATTGTTACTATCAAGAGCCAGCACTGCAGGTGGTGTTGAATTTTTACAGTGCACAATACTACAAGTGCTCTCAGCTGAGGTGAACACCAATTGCCTCCTCGAGCTGAGGGAGTTCTGCCAAATGTAATGCACTTCACTTTGTTCTACCCACTGACGTGGCCAACTTACGTGATTGACCAAAGGTGTGAAAGTGCTGGGCTTTCCACCAAGAAACAAAGGACTAACCATTGGATTGTAAATGCAGGTGATCCATGAGAGACACTTCAAAGAAATGCTAAGCAAATGGAGGGTAACCTCCTTTTCCATTATTAATAACTAGCATCATACACACCTGCCACTGGACGACTGGCCAGCAGCTGTGTGAACAGGAGCTGGGAGAGTGGTGATAGAGGCAGCATGAAAAGCCAGGCCTATGTATGTCAGACTGTTCTCTTCACTCTTCTGTGAATACACGCTATTAATTCCCATATCCTAATTCATGACTCTTCCCTTTGGCTGGAAGTATCCTTTTTTTTTAATGCCCAGATCCTGCCAATTCTTCCTTTCCTCCCACAATAAGAGCTATTGTATCTTAGCCCTTGACTTGTGCTTTTGTGATTATCATCTTTATCAATCTTTGCTTTTGAAATTATTGCTCTTCTACCATTTGATTTAGATTTTACTTTGTACATTATTTTAGACTTGACATTTACTTACATACACACAGGTGTGACAGACTTATTTCTCCAAGTAGATTATAATGCCTTGCCTTGTGCATCAGAGTTCATGTTTAAACTGCCTCTGTTTGCCCTACTGCATTTAGTGTAAGTAGACCAGAAACCTATTCCAAAGGCTTCTCCTGTCAACTGACCTCTAGCTACCTGAACTCAGGAACTGAAATAATTCTGAAAAATTTTGAATGAATCCTTTAGTATTCACACTGTTGCTATTTGCCATCCCAAACTTAAGAACCACATAGATATGTAATTTCTTGCTATCAGTGTTTGCAATCAGAACTCTTTCTACCCAAGCTCAGGAACCAAATGGATTTAGATAGCAGAGGTTACCTGTCCTTCCGGATTCATGTTGTGTTTCAGTGATGGGATCAGCAGTTATACTGAGACTCTAGCTACCGCTTCTTCTACCATGACTACAGTACACAAATATAATAATCATATTTTTATTGTTATGGGGGCTGCGACCAGGCAGGAATATGCATAGCTTTTGCCTTGAATTTTGGTTCTGGCACTTAATTCTCTATGCACTACTCTTCTCACCTGTAACATGGTAAAAATTATATGTATTTTTTAGTATTCTTATACAGAATAAAAATTATGTGTGTAAAGTGATTGGTATTTATAGTAGGCTGTTGCTGAATCACAGATATCTTGCTTTGTCCATATTATTAATCATCTCATTCAATCCTGACATATTGCTTTTTTCTCTTCTTTAAAGCAACCAGTCAGCTAATATGTATTGAATAACTTCTGTGTTAGACACTAAAATGTTCTGACTTTACAAATGATCTTATCGTTTTGATACTCTTTTTATGTAGGTTGGTGTAAGATAAATGAAATTATACCAACATTTTGTGGTTGAACAAAATGTACAAGGTGTACATCTTGGGTCTTCTTTGTCTTTAATTTTTTAAAATTTGAATAAACTAGTCTTTTAACTAAAGGGTACCTTTAAGAAAAGTAAACCTAGTGTTTAGTAATCCTGCCTATCCCCAGTTTTTCTCAGAAACTTGAATCTTTACCTTCTTCCTTGTTAGCATATGTTGTCTGCTTTTGTCTGATTAAACCAGAATTTTCTTGGCTATTACAAATTCTTATTAAATCATTCATTCATAGGAAAATGTAGTAGGAATGACCTGAATGCCCATAATGTGTAAAAGTTTTACAGTGAGTGGACTGCACGGCTGGGAGAGAGCTCAGGTGATTTTTTTGTTTTGCTACCATTTTGAATTGTTTCCTAAGTCTCTCTCCCACTATCCTAAGACTCTGCCAGATGGAAAGCATAGTGTTAAATGGGAGAAGAAATACAAAGAGATGAATCAGAGAAGTTTTTACAGCCCCCTAAAACACAATGTGAGTGGAAGTGTGTGTGGGAGAGAGACAGATGTCCCATGTAAAGGTGAGGTGTGGAGTGGGAGTGGGCGTGGCAGAGAAGAGAAAGGTGTTAAGCCTTCAAATCCCAGCATGACAACCCAGCAAATCTAGGGACAGAGAGATAGGCTGTGTGCTGCAAACTACTCACGAATCTCTACAACATGTAGTGAGTAATGGAAATGGAAATAATTTATTTAAACAGCTGTGAATTAAAAATTTAAAGGATTTACATCTTTCTAACAATAGATACCTGATAAAAAAAAGTGCCTTGCACTCCAAAAGAGTAATCATAGGTACGGGTGCATTGGGAACGATCTGCTCCTAGCAGAGGGTGGTCATTCTCCCAGTTGCCCCAGAACCTGGGCATGGCCTGAAGACTAAGGTAAGACACCTGATTATGGTAAACGTGTCTTCCCTAAAGCTCTTTCAAGGTTTAAATCCTTACAAATGTTATTTAGCTTATGAGGATTCTCACGGTGGCAATGTGAAGCAGACCCCATAGAAAAGAAATCCGTGGGGAGCTAATACTTTAGTTGCCAATTAGGGCATCCAGCTAGTGTGCCATAGAAATCATTCTTTATCAAGTTATGTCACAATTTCTCTTTTGAAGGCTGTGTTATGGATGATACAATACTGTATCTTTTTATTTATATCTAACTTTTGAATGAAAAAATTTCTATATGTGAAGATACATGAAAAGCATGTGAACAACATTAAGCACAGGTTATTACCTATTTTGTTCTCGGACTTTCAGGATATATATTTAGTAACTAAATGTTGAGTTAATATTAAGTTAATATTAACCTGTATGATAGATTTTTTATTTGAAATTACTTTTTTAAAAATTGGAGAAAACGAACTGATGAACTCTTAATTCTAAACAACTCTATAACACATATGTGCTAATACAAAGTTTACATTTTAAGAAATGCCACCTTCACAAATAAGTTTAAACCCAAATTTTGTAATTCAAGGCATTCTTACTGTGTTTACAAGTTTCTTCTACAAGAATGCCTTTCATTTCAGTATGTTTAGCGGTTTCCTAAATTTTTTTTAATAAGTGGTAATTTAGCACCGTGTTTTAACTACTATTATTATCTTGTAGCAAATGGTTTTATAAAACACAGGATTACCATAGTGAGTCACAATCCAAATGAGCAGTTTAGTTGGAATAGGGTTCTTAAGCCATTTGCTATGTCTCTACATATATCTCTTCATTAGATTGAAAAATTCCCTGACATATTTTTGTAAGCATGTGTAAGTTATGATGTAAGCTTGGCTGCTACATTCATTAGCCACCAGTGATGGAATATCAAGCCTTGATATTACTTGTTGGCTATAACAGAGATTTAAAACATCAGTTTCTTAAATAAGATAGAAATTATTATGCTAATCCCGGGTTAATAAGGACTCTGACAGTGTTGGGAACCGAGGCTCCTTTTACCTTTTGGCTTAGCTGTCGGAATATTGATCTCATGTGTGAATGGAGACCACCATGTTTATATCTCAGCAAAAAGCTCCCCCTTTCTTTTAAGAGACTGACCTAAAAGTAGCACACATCACTTTTCTTGCATATTTTTATTCAGAACTCAATCATCTCACTATATGTAGTAACAAAGGAGACTCAGAAATGTAGGACGCCATTTACCTCGCTAAAATTCCTATGACTGTAAAAGAAGGAGAACACGGAGTTGGGAAGACATTTAACAATTTCTGCCACGTGCAGTCTGTCTCCCAACCATGACACATACCCATTCCCTCTCTAAGGTTTTATTCATCTTGTTGTATATTGTACCTGGGTGCTATGAAGTCAATTCTTTCTCTCAAGCCCCGACATTACTTCTCATGTCTGACACATTCGATCTGAAAGCCAGTTGATCTGCCATCTGCTCGCCCCCAAGTCCCCTAAATGCACATCTAATACACAATGGTAAGGCTGAGGCAGGTAACACATCCAAAAGGCAGTGGTAGAGGGGAAGCTGGACAAGACACTCCCATTTGGAAAAGGGGACGAAAGGAAACCCAATCGTCACTCAGCAACGGCCAAATCCTGTGTGTAGGAATCATGAAGATTTTTATCCTGGAAGTAGAAAAAGTTCTTTGTTGTCCCTCCTGGCAAGCCTGCCCCCTTGCCCTCAGGG